ACTTGGAGGATCCTTGGACTTAGTAAGTAACGTTATAAGAACCTTAATTGGGGGTATAACTATTTATAGGTATGGTTGCCTTCATTAGAACCCTAGTTACTAAGTCCCATGACCCTTTAAGTAGCCTTAAACCCCCCTTATAGAAACCCTATAGATCCCTTTAAGGGAACCCTGACAGAACCCTTAGTTACTAAGTCCCATAAACCCTCCATTGAGGTCAAAGGGCATTGGCGAGGCGCGCTGTGGCAGCTACGCAAGTGTTCACGCCGACCTGCGGAGGCGGGTGCCCGGAGAACCCCTAATTGAGTCCAAAATAACTACTTACCAAGTCCCCCGCCCCAGTCCTCCCAGAGACTCCAAAACCCCCTAATTAAGAGGAATATACCTTAGAAGGGGCCCCCACCCTGTAATAGTGACTATAAGGATTATATTATATTCCTATCATACCACTATTACAGGGTGGGGGCCCCTTCTAAGCAATATGCCTCTACTTGCTTAGGGCTGAGGGTTCAAGGTCTCGTGTTCAGGGTTTAGCGGTATTCCTAGACTAGCTCTTATGTGCGTGTGGGTATATGTGTATATATGATTATATCATGTAAACATATAATATATATATATATATATATACATATTATATATATATATATAGCTTGTACATATTGTGTGTATATATATATATACACAGGTAGACAGGGTTCAGGGCTCCGGATTTAAGCTTCAGGACTTGCAAGGTTCCAAGATTAGGGATCCTCGATCACAGAGCCGTTGACTCTTACCGAACATCCTAAGCTTCAGGCTGAGGCTCTAACTTAAGTGTTAGGGTTTAATTACTACTAGTATAGGGTTTAGGGTTTAGGGTTCTGCTACTTCTTCTACTACTATCACAGGGTTTATAACTGGAGTTAGAGTTTAGGGCTTATGGTGTAAGACTTCAGCATATCTGCAATTAGAGTTTAGGGCCTAGGGTTTAGGACTTAAGTATCAGTGCATTTAAGGTTTAGGGCTTGGGTCTTAGAACTTAAGTTTAGCTGCAACCATAACTCAAGGTAGCTCCCAATGGTGTTACTCAGGCGATGATTGGATTCTACTTACGGTTATACTTTAGTTATACGTAATGTAGGAACCTGATTAAAACAAAGCCTTGGGCCTTGTTTCAAGGGTTCCTGATATGAATCCTACTATTTTGGCGTTATATGCCCATGGTTTCTTAATCAGGTTCCTACATTATGATATGTCCATGCCAGGGAAGCTCTTCTGATCCCACAGCTGCTACGAAGGATCCTTCGGTGAAAACCCGGCCCGCCTTGGCGCTCACCATATTCCTCGCAGCACGGAGATCCCCTAAACCCTAAACCCTTCGGCTTACGGCACGGGGAACCCAAGCCCCAAAGGTGTCGGGGCTTTCAATCTGCGCCTTCGGTCTTATGGCAAGGGGGGGGCATGAGGTCTGAAGCTTCAGAACCTATACGGGATCTGTAGGATGCAGGATAAGATGAAGGTGGAGGGCCGATGGGCGTGGTGGCTACGGCCTTAGAAACGGACCGCTAGTTCCGCGCTTTGCTTGATTTTGTGTTTGACGGTTTACAAAAGCCGCAGACCCCGCTGACTGTTGCTGAGTTGAACAGACTTGGTTACCTTAGGACCGAATTATAACACTGCTCCCAGTACTCTCTCCGAACTCGACCATTACGAGTCAAAACCCTACGATGAAGACGACCACAGCAACGTGTTGCACGGGCTCCAAAACTTAGAAGAGGCTTCGAACCAGGGCTAAACAAAAAGTGCCTAACTGCTCAGCATTTTGCGATAGGGATAGGATGAAGGTAGGTGGGGCAATCTTAAATACTAAGTAGTCCGTATATATGTATATAGAGGGAGAGAGGGAGAGAGAGAGAGAGAGAGAGAGAGAGACAAGATCCTTAATCCTACCTAACTTCATCTCACCTTTTGAAGCCTCCGACATCTGGATGCGAATGAGTGCGTTAAAATGACAAAAGTAATGAATCCTCCGTGTTCTGGAGGTGTTGAGAAGCTGCAACAACGCAACCCTGAACTCTACGCCCTGTCCTTTGAAAGGACGAAGCCCCAAATCCCTCCAAAGCCACTGGAAGCAAAATATAGGGCCTCAATGAGTAGAATTGGGTTTAGGGGCCCACTATACTGGAATTATAATAAGGAACCCCAAAAAAGAGTCTGACCCATCAGCTCGATGTACCGAGCGCGAAGCACGACCACAAACAAACCTATAAATACCAGCTTCGAAACTGTGTTTCAAAAGCAAATACATGTCTATCTAAACATATTAAAATATGTATGTATATATATATATATATACATATGTATGTCTAGATATATTTGTGATATATATATATATATATATATATATATATATATACACATACATATACATATACATAGACATAGACATAGACATAGACATAGACATAGACATATATATATATATATATACATATACATATACATATATATATATATATATGTATGTGTATACATACATATGGGGACTCGCAGAAAGTAGAGGACTAAAATATGGAACCATATCTCTTTGTAGTGCCGGGCCCAACCAAATCAGCCAGGTCGCAGCGAGGCGCCGGCGATGAAGCAAAGCAATGTGCCGAAGCCGGACGCGACGTAAACCTGGGAGTTTGCACGCCGGTTTGGGGTCCAGGGTTTAGGGGTTTAGGGTTTAGGGCTTTAGGAGTTTAGGGGTTTAGGGTTTAGGGTGTGCCGAAGCCGGATGCGACGTAAACCTGGGAGTTTGCTCTCGGGTTGAGGAATTGGGGAATTGGTTTCAGCCTGACTTAAGCAATGCGGGCCTTTGGGCTTCTTCGGAACTATACTGAACTTAGAACCCTAGCAAAAATTTTAATTTCGCTGTTTCTTAGGGGTTATAATAACCAAAAATTAACAAGTATTTCTAAGTACCCCTATGTAAGGGAAGCTGACATCCCAAACCCTGAGACCGGGATCTGCGATGCAGCCTGGCGACGTACCAGCCGGCCATGAAGAGAAATACCTTCATCGTGCATCACTTTGCAGTAAACCCTATAAAGTTGGAAACCGGATTAAGGCCAAATAGTGCTGGGATTCCCTTTACATCACTCTTAAGGATTGAGGCTATGGTTTTCAACTTTTGGGCTTTTACTTTAATCCGAGTTGAGGGTTGAGGTGGCAGGTTTAGGATTTGGGGCTTCAGGTTTTAGGTTTAGGATTTAGGGTTTGGGGTTTAAGGTTTTAGGATTTAGGGTTTGGGGTTTGGGGTTTATGGTTTTAGGATTTAGGGTTTTGGATTTAGGGTTTGGGGTTTAAGGTTTTAGGATTTAGGGTTTGGGGTTTGGGGTTTAAGGTTTTAGGATTTAGGGTTTTGGATTTAGGGTTTGGGGTTTAAGGTTTTAGGATTTAGGGTTTGGGGTTTGGGGTTTGGGGTTTAAGGTTTTAGGATTTAGGGTTTTGGTTTTAGGGTTTGGGGTTTAAGGTTTTAGGATTTAGGGTTTGGGGTTTGGGGTTTGGGGTTTAAGGTTTTAGGAGGATTTAGGGTTTTGGATTTAGGGTTTGGGGTTTAAGGTTTTAGGATTTAGGGTTTGGGGTTTGGGGTTTGGGGTTTAAGGTTTTAGGATTTAGGGTTTTGGATTTAGGGTTTGGGGTTTAAGGTTTTAGGATTTAGGGTTTGGGGTTTGGGGTTTAAGGTCTTGCGTCTGGTGCTCAGGCGCTGCAGAGCGCGGGAAGATGCATCTAGGGCTTTGAGGGCCGCTTGATGTATATAAGAGTGAAGGAGTTTGGGGGAAGCTCGGAACGTTCGTCGAGCTATCGAGCCAATAGACGGGCTCGAAAACAAAACCCTTGACCCCGAACCCTACACCCCAAACCCTAAACTACACCCTAAACCATAACCCCTGGAGTGTATAACCAAAACCCTGAACCCGAAGACCCTAAACCGAATGTTCTTGCACTGCCACAACCTTATGCTGAAATTGGGACCCTTGCACAATTTATGATTATGATTTCAGCTGTTTCCTTCAGGATTATAGTAGACAGCAATTAAGAATTATTTCAAAGTACCCGTGAGAACCTTCAAAGTCCGATACGCCGAAAGCCTCGAGAAGTCTCCCAGGCAGTTGCTTTGGTAATAATGTAGGGGCCTTAGTGCATATAGTAGGCTTTTGGGGCATATTATGCTATGATTATAATAAGGAGCCCTAAGGAAAATATTGGTAATTCTTTAGGCTTCTTTATTAAGGTTGGTTAGGGCTTAGGGCTTTGGGCGTATAGGGATTAAGGTATCATAGGCAAGCCCCTCAAAACACAAAATTAACCTAAACCCTAAACCATAAACCCTAAATCCTGAACCCTAGGCCCGAAACCCTACACCCCCTAAACCCCCTAAACCCTAAACCCCAAACCCTAACCCCTAGATGGGGTTTGAGGAAGCTCCGGAAAGATCCGAGGCAGCCTTGGCTTAGGATTTAAGGCGTAGGGTCGCCTGTGAAGCCCATGTAGGTGCTGTGTCTGGGTCACAACAAAGATTCTACCGGTTTAGGGTTTAGGGTTTAGGAGCTTCTGTTCCGAACCGCGAAGATCTTAATTCGGGATTTCGGATGTTTATCGTCCTCTCCCCAAAGCTTGGAAGACACCGAACGACCATTACACGACTGGACAGGGACACGGCGATGCTACGGCGGTGCTACCTTGAACAGACTGGCCCGAGTACGCAATTTCTTCATGCAGTGCCCAAACCTCTTGATGCCCGAACGTCGAGCCGGTGCACTTCTGGCACATCACGGCACGGTGAAGATCATGGCAATGCCCTCAGCACGCTTTCAAGAGAAAATCTCCACAAGTCTCCTGGTGGCAATGGCCTTCGACCCATCTGCAGCCATTGATCAATAGATTCGATCACTGCTCATCCACCTCGCAGTCTCATAGACAAACTGACAGACACATACTGTGCAACGCATCAAGACCCGGAAGGCCCTGGCAGTTCATGCGCCCCAGTCTCCAAAAATCTGTCCACCTTGAGGTTCCCGCACCGCCTGAAGCAGAGGTTCCAGCAACCTTTTCAAAGGCGCCCGGACTTTCGCAAGATCAGCATCGGATTGAGACTTCCCAAACAGCCCCCCACCTTTGCCAAACGGGGCAGTGCGGACGCAGGCCTCGCACTGGAAGATCTCATCCTGCAAGGCGACGATCGGATTCAACATATCTTGCTTTTTGAGGGCCACCTCCAGCAGCATGTCGGGCCCGGATTGGCGGAGCACCTCCAGGTCTTCCTTCGTGCTGAATTTGGCCAACTCACTGATGCACCTTTTGTACTGCCTTTCGAGGCCGTGCTTGTGCGCTTGCACCAGGCGATCGCCAGTGGGCGAAAGACCAAGCAGCAAAGTCTCACAGGTCTCTTTGATCGTCTTCACCTGGTAGTAGTCGCTGATTGCAAGAAGTGAATCAACATTATCCTCCTGCACTTTATCGGTGCTCCATGCCATAGGTCCGAGTAAGTCGTAGAAGATTGTGAACTCCTGCTTGCTTGCCACATCCACCTTGATGACCCTTTGCTGTGCTTCCTTCATACCGCTCTCAAGCATGCGGTTGAAGACAGGGGAGGCCAGTCGAAGCAAAGTAGCGCTAGCCGGCATCACGTCCACGCCGAAGTCCAAAACTACGTCACTGACCTGTTCCGATGTCGCCGTTGCTTCAGGCACCTCCATTTCGGTATCAGCCTGCACGAGACTGGCTTCCGACATGGAGGACAGGATGCAAGTGGAGCCACAGCTGCTAAATGCAAACTACAGGTTGCTCGCTTTGGGCCCTGTCGCCATACGCGAACATCTCCCTGCAGCCCTTGAACAAACCCTCAACCCGTGAAGCTCTGAGTCGTGACCTCTTTACGCAAAGCCCAATCTTGAACTCCGAGGTGCACAGATGCACGGAAGCGTCCGGTTCATGTAGACCGTCACGCCCTGCAAACAAGGCACCATGAAGGTCTGTACATTCGGGGCGTGGGGTATAGGCTTCGGGGTTGAAGTTCACGTTGATGGCCCATGTCTGATATCTACAGCATGACCCGCTTTCCAAGATTATGCATGCGGTGGTCGGCGATGCCGTGCAAATGGTCCAACTGAAAATGCTTCAATCACGCGTCAATCACTACACTGTCATGACTCATGGAAGTGGAAGCCCCGAGGAATTTTGACGAATTACTACAGAGGTAAACTCTGCTGGCTAAAAAACCTGTTTCGCCTTCAAGCACTTCAAGTTTTGCGTGGTTTCGGATCGGCTGGGAGGGCCGGAGTTCCGCAACCATATGGCCATGGGAATCGCTGTATATCTTTAGCACACAGCATTCACTTCAAGACTCAAAACAGTGCCAAAAAGCCTTGTCGGTTCCAAGGGAGTTTGGAGTCTTCTTGAAGGATGCTTAGACATAGAGCCAGGAGTAAGGTTGCCATAGTCGTAGTTGCTTAGGCTCCCAATTCTTGTACATGTACCGACATGTACAGCTCTGTGACCATGAATCTTCACTCTTAGTGCAGTCGTGAGCCAAGCTCCCTTCCACAAGCCCGACCTACAACCTCCACATTCTTGAACCTTAAAGCCTTAATTCCCTACGCCCTAATCCCGAAACCCTAACCCGAAGCCGAAACCCTGAACCGCACCGACAAAACGCCCGTGACAAACCTGCACAAGCCCCTAACACCCTGAAAACCTGAACCCTAAGCTTAAACCGTCAACCCTGAACTAAACAAAAACCCTAAACCTGCCAACCTAACCCCTAGACCCTAGGCCACATAGAAGCCCTAAATCCTGAAAGCCCCCCTCTCATCTGCCTTACTGACGAGCCAGCTGATGTCCACGCATCTCCGGGAACCCTGCACTTCCAACAGCCTGGGCGGTTTAGGGTTTAGGAAGGGCCCCAAAAAAGCAAAGGATAGGGATATCCCATATATATGTATATATATATATATATATCCCCTTATAATGAAGCCCAATAAGGTAGGGGTATCCCTATAAAATGCTTATGCTCATGTGCTTTGGGGGGTCCGTAGTTATGTGTATCTGCAGTCGATGTTACCTTCTGTACTGCCTGCACGAAGCTTCGGTTATACATATCAGTATAGATATAGATATAGATAAGCATAGAGACAGAGGTAGAGAGATAGAGAGATCGAGGCGTAGCAGATGGAGAGATAGAGAGATTGAGAGATTGAGAGATAGAGAGGTAGAGAGATGGAGAGATAGAGAGATAGAGAGGGCTTTCTGCATATATATATATATACATGCATATCGTCATCAATGTTTAAAGTTCTCAAAACCGCCACCCACGGTTACCGTCGTCACGATCATTAGCCGGACAGAACAAACTGATCTAGAGTTTCGGCCAGCTCCGATTTGCACGGTCAGCGCCGTGTTCCCCAATCAGTACCTAAAGGGTCATGTGACTTAGTAACTAGGGTTATTACTAAGGTAACTATACCTATAAATACTTATAACCCCAATTAAGGTACTTATACCCCTACTTTCTAAGTCCCATGACCCTCCAAGTCGTCCATTGAACCCGATCTTGGGCACTGGCATCAGGGTGGTGAACAGGCACACCTTCAGGGGCTTAAATTTCGGATCCTACAGATTGTGCTCCAAGTTTGTAGACTCTTTACATGGTCCTTTTAGGCTTAAACAAAGCTCTTAACAGGGCGCTTGGGCGTTTGCAAGGGTTCCATACGGCTATGAGTGGTGCTTGTGTGCTTCAGGTTGGCATGATCGGTTAGCATTTTGGGACTGAGGGGTTGGATTCTCTACGGCTTGGGGGTCAGTGTTTCGAACGAGCCTGCTTCAAGCAAATCCCCGGGCCACGAACGTATACATCCGAAACACCACCATAGAGGTAGCGTTTACGCGTAGCTGAAAAGAACCAGGTTTTTATGTGTATCTACATATATGAATATATATATATATACACTTATACATATGTATATACAGTTGCATAAATAAGTGTGTGCATATATATATGTGTGTGTACACATAATTCATACCTCTAGTGCCTTTAAGATAGGTCATTTGGGCCACAGGTAGAGCTTTCATCCCTGGACACCTTCCGCCCTTCGGCTTGCGAGGCTGTGGATTTGCCATGCATACATGTCGAGGTTTAGGGCTTTAGGGGTATGTGGCATGGACCTTTAGGGTCTATTTGGCAATCCTGCTGGGCTTTGTATTTAAACTGCAACAACACCACGGCGACAAGGACGACGACGACTCGGTTTAGCACGACGACGACTGGGTTCAACACGGCGACGACAAGGTCTGGCACGACGGTTACATCGGGAGGCCGAAGCGTGTACAGTGTAAAGTCTCGACAGGAGTTTAAGGGTCTAGGGTCTTAGCTCCTAACTATGGTTTACCGCGGTCAGTATACTATGGAAGATCTAAGGTTTGGAGTTTATGAGGATTTAGATGGTTTTACGCTCTCACAAGTTCTCCGTGCTGGTTTTAGGGTCTATCACAGTCTATCACAATGTCCTCCCGTCCCTCTCGCGCCGGGAACCATCAAGAATCTGTCTTGTGTATTTCTCGTCCTGTGTCTTTCTCTCATTCCCGTTCCTCTTCCTGCCTATCCACTCTGCCGTTTGTCAAGAAGACACAGAAATTGAAGTCATGACAGAGGAATAGGCATGAAGATGGACGAAGTGAACTCTTCATTCTCTCGTCTCTCCCTTCTCTCCTTCCTTTGATTGATCTTTTTTCTGTTGCTTTTCTTGTCGCCTTCTGCTGTCAATGACAGGGGTAACACGAGGGAGGGGCAAAGGGACGACGTCAGTTCCTCTCGACGTGGTTCGTTTTTTCATTTCCTCTCGCGTTGTCTCTCTTCCGCCTCTCTCTCTCTCTCTGTCTCTCTCTCTCTCTCTCTCTCTCTTTTTTTGCTCTGTCTTCCTCTCTGCCGTGTCTCGCTCTCTCATCTCTTCTGTCCCCTCTTTCCTTGCTCCCTTGCTGGAAGGAATAGAAAACAGAAGCGAAGACATAAGATGGAGGAAGATGGTTGGGAGAAGGAAGGTGGATTCCTCCCTCACTCGGCTCTTTGACTTTCTTTGCCCTTGCCTTCTTTTCTCTGCTCCTATCCTTCTTCACAATTAGAAGGAGAAGCGACAAGAACGGAGAGCTCAGGGAGAGCAAGTGACACTGTTCCTCACAATCTCCTCCTTCCTCGTGTTCATTGCGTTGTCCATCTCCCCCTCGCTCTCTCTCTCTCTCTCTCTCTCTCTCTCTCTCTCTCTCTCTCTCTCTCCCTCCATCCTTTCCTCTCTACTTCTGCACATTTACTTTTCCACTTCTCTCGCCTACTACATTATGCTTGATTTGATACTTATCTTCAACTTTCTCTCACTCTCTTTGTCCCATCGCTTGCCCTGTTCCTTCTCCTCCTCCCTTCCCTGCCTCCCGTCCTTCTCCCCTTATCACTCAGAAGGAAGAAGGAAGACTCACAAGGAGAAAGACAAGGGAGTAAGAAAGCAGACAAAAGAAACGGAGAGAGAGCCATAAGGGACGAAATACAGAAACAAAGAGAGAAAATATGGGGGAAAGATAATCAAAAAGGGAGACAGAAAGAGGAGGCGATGCATAAAGCAGCCGACAGTGCCTTGACCTCCACGTCTATTCATTCTTTGTTCTTGTCCTATCACACTGTCTCATTGGTGATAAACCAGGAAGAGCTTGTGGAGGGAGACGAGGAAGAAGTGTTCTCCTCTTCACTCACCTTGTGCCCTTCCTCTCCCACCGCTCGCCCGCTCTCCTTTCTTTGATTTTCTTGTCTGGCGGAAAAGTGGGAACCAGGAAGGAAAGTGGACCAGGGAAAGGACGAGATTGAGAAATGACAAAAAGAAGAGAGATACGGAGAGAGCGAGGGAGAGCTTCAAGCCCAGCAGAGGAAGAAGAGAGAGGAAGATAAGAGAAGGGAGCAAGGGGTGGCCAGAAGAAGCGTAAGCCAAAGCTACGTATTGAAAGGGCGGAAGCCCCATTCTCTTCTTCTTCCTCTTTGCTCTCTTGTTTTTCTTAGCGCAGGGCATGCATGGAGCTAGGAAAGGGAAGGGGTCAAAGCGGATGAGAGAAAGTAACGGAGAGAGCTGTTCTTCGTCCCTCTCACCTCCTCCTCTCATTCTCCTGATGCTTGCTCATGTCAGAAGGGTTTGGAAAGGAGTGAAGGCTAGGGCATGGACTGAAGCGAGGCAATAGGTGAAAGTGGATAAGAGAAAGTCATAGACAGAGAGTGGGGAAGTCGAGTGCGAAAGAAAGAGAAACGAGGAAGACTAGGAAGAAGGACACAGAAGAGGAAGCGAGAGAGTACCAGTGTTGCCGTATCTCAAAGGACTCCGGGCCTCGCGAGGGCTTTGAGGAGGCTTGTAGGCGCCTTCAGACACTTCCACAACTTTCTGGAAGCCACCAACTTCCTCCCTAAGGGGGCCTCCCGAGGACATGAACACCAAACCGAGTATAAAGAAAGCAGGGGGATGTAGAGAAGCAGAGTGTGGTAAGAAGGAGCAAGGAGACTCAGTTCGCGTCTCCTCATCGTTTCCTTTTTGAATGACCAGAGGAAAGAAAAGGATAAGAAGGAGGAAAGGCTCTGCGAAGACATCAGGAAAGAAGAGCAAACAACAGAAAGGAAGCGGTAAGATGCGGGAAGACGGTTCGGAGAAGAAAGGAGAATTCCTCCTTCGCTCGCCTCTCTACTTGCTTGCCCTTCGCCTTCTTCCTCTTC